AGAGCCAGACATTTGCACAAGACTCTGATGCTGCGAGGCATCGCTCCTCACACCACATCAGCGGTCACCACCTGCATCTGGGCACAAGGGCTGCTCCTGCCCTCTCTCCCTTCAGTGCACAGACAGACAGACAGACACACTGGGTCAGTCACAGCTCCACAAGCTTCAGGGGGGCCACAAAGCAGCTCTGGGAGCAGAGACAGCAGTTGGGACAGAGGTGTGGACCCTCACTGAAGGCTCAGCCATACTCTGGTTGTCTTGGCCCAAAGCAGAGCCAAGGGGCTCTTCTGCCTTTGGAGGGTCATAGTGAAACACGTTTTGGGTTCCATTCCTCTGCCCTTCCTCTCCTTGGGAATCTAGCACAGAGCAGCTGAATAACACCTGGTGGAGCAGAGTACAGGCCCATGTGCTTCCTTTTCCCTTGAGGCAGAGCTCACTTTTCAAAAGCAACTGTGGCTCAGCTATGCCAGGGATGGTACACAGTGTTTGAGCTGCTCCTAGCCACTGATGATTCTGTTCAAGCTTTCAGCAATTTTGGATTTACATGCCCCCATTCCTTTTGGGCCAAGGGTTCCAAGTTCCAGTTATCCATTACTGAAGAATAGAGAGTGAAGGACAAACACATTTGTCCTTTGCTTTTTTAAAAATTATTAGAAATCTTTCTCAGCAGCAGGGTAACTCTGCCTTGGCATTTCTTCCTTACTCTGGTTTAAATAACAGCAATGAGATATGGCCCCTTTCCCTGGTCAGGAAAAGTGCAGAAAAATTAGAGAACCCTCAACACTAAGTACTTTGACATGCAAGAAAGCCATCCCCATTCCTTCAGCTCATCACAAGGCAGCTTCAGGCTGCTGCCAGGTGCCAAGGTGGCAGTGGCCTGCCTAGAATCCATCTCTGCTCTCTGTATTGAGAGCTAAGGATTTGGGCAGATTTGTCCAGACTTTCTACTGCTCATGTCAGATGAGCTGGATCTCACCTGTTGTTTCTTAATGGAAACACATGGAAGCACCCACAAAGAGCTAATTCAAGCCCTCATCCTGTTTGGCATCAGACACTTCCTTTGACTACTCTGACTCCAGCGTCCCCCTTGTAGGATGAACCTCATCAGTGGCGTGCTATGGATTACATGAAATTCCTAAAACCTTTTTAAAAGGTGTGGATTGATAGTTTTTATGCTCTTAGAAAGGTCAATTGCAAGAAGGATGCTAAGGAGGAGAAGAAATAGCTCTTTCTGGGCCCTTTGGGGCTGTTTCTTATGCTTACAAACACACCCACTGCAGAGACAGGGGCACTGATTAAAAGTCAGTGACATTCCATAGCTCATGATTACACACAAAGTTGAAAGCTGAAGTGAATGTAGCCTTAGGAACCTTATTAATCTACTGTTTGATTAAACTACCTTTCAGCCTCCTTATTAAACTGCGATAGTTCTAGAAGAATAACAACAAAGTCGTATGAAAGACAAGACTGCTTGAGGGTGTTATTTTGTGTTGTCATTGACTACTCATAACTAAGAGGGGAAAAGGTACTTTATCCAAGGTAAGAAAAGATGTGACAAGCATTAATATCTCCTTTTGTTTGTTTTATCACTAATATATCCATAGGGAAGCACCATTGCACTGCACAGGTAAAACCATTTCTCAATTAAGTGCCAGTGGCCACATTTGAATGAAGTCAGGGAAGTGAGAGAACACTAACACACAGCTTTTCCACTGATAAAACCACTGCACAATTTGCCATTGAAAAGGCAAGGCAGACACAAAATGTTTCGAGAAGGAAAAATCCCATACAATGTCAACACCCCAGTTTTATTTATTAATTTAATCATTTGTCGATTACCACTACAGCAGCATCTGAAACCTCAGCTGAGGCCAGACTTCCATGAGTCTGGCACTAGCAAATCTGCATGGTCTAGAATAAAGGGTTTCTCAGCTTTCTGTTTGTATCCTGTTCTCAGTCAGATGCACAAATTAGGGGCTCAGCCTCATGATGACATTACCACTGCCTTGTAAGAAATGGATAAACCCAAAAGTGAGGCAAACTCAACTTCATCTTCTGGGTCTGTGGTACCTTGGGAGATACACAATCTGCAGCTCTAACTTTAGAGATAAATAATGGTCTAGAGCAGCAGTTTTGATGCAGAAGCATAATTTCCAGAAGGTGCAGGAAATATGTCAGACTCTCCCTTTATTTTATACTTTCCTTACTCATAGATGAGTGCTACCTTGAGTGACTGCCACCATCTGCCTGTCCCAATGGAAGGAGACAGAAATCCTGCTTTAGATAACTGAGTGCATATATGTGAAAGAGCTTAAATGCTCTGTGATATTCACCAGCAATGCCATTTATCACAAACAAGTCTCCAGTCTATGCTACATCTATTTGAAGAGAGTAACAACCATGTTTGAGTTTCTGATTATTTAATACTTTCATTTCTCTTGCCTTTAGGAGGTGGACTCAGGCATACAAATCAAACAGCTGCAAAATCTCCTGTGATTCCTCCTCAAAGAATAAAATAATTAACTTGATATATCAAGACATAATTTAGACTAGAAAAATTACTGCTGTTAGAAGTGGATTAGCTGAGTTACAATTGTTCAGTATCAGGAGATATTAACCTATATTTGCCTGATATTAGAAGTAAAACCAATCCAATAAATTTTATGAAATGGCTTTTAAAGTGTATTTGTAAAGAAGGTCTAATATTTACTAGATTAAATAGTATTTACATTTAAATATTTTTAGAAGCTAGGGAAGGTACAAAGTAATTCCTGGAGGGTAAGTCCTCAAACATAACAATTTATATGCCAAATGAAATCCATCGCTGGTGCTTTTTAAAACTAGGTAATGCAGCATTAACCTCCCCAAGCTCACCAGGCTCCTGACTTTCATCAGCATTCAATCGTTGATGAATTGCCAACATTTTTGAAGTAAAACCATATAAACAAAAGTACAAGTATATTCAAAATGTAAATGCTTCTTTGGAGATCAAGGAAAAGATTAAATACCTCAGTCTGGCAAAGGATGTAAGGATGTTCCTTAAACTCCTTTGACTTCAATAGGACATAAACATATGCTTGAAGTTTGGCATGCTCAGAGCTTTGGAGGGAAAATTCACAGGCAGGTTTGGGAACTGCAGCATGGAGCAGTATCCTACTCAGGTTTTGGGAGCCCAGCCACATCCTGAGCCTGCAGGCTTCAGTTAGATATCTATAAACATGGCAAGCATAAGTAAGGTCCAAATCCACGGCACGCTGTGTGCAGGGAGCAGGCAAACTTAGCTAATTGGCACTTGGGAGGAAAAGGTTATAGCTTGTCCTTATTTCCTGTTTGTAGCAGGTGTAGAGCAGGGACAGGCTCATACAGCCAGCTTCCTTTGGGAGGCAGAACCCCCTGGGACCATGCCAGTCCCTCAGGAGAATGGGAGGAGGGACGATGCAATGCTACGGGCTCCTCCATGGGAGCACCTGTGCAGGTGCCTTTCCCTCCTCTGCTGAGGAGTGCTTGCTCTAACAGACAGCAGGACAAAAAGAGATACAGGATTTTAACTTTCAGCCATGTTCTGGGCAGCCTCCAGCCCACGGCTGGGCTTCCAGACAGAGGAAAGATGAGAAGATGGGCATGTTGTTGTCACCTCCACAAGGTTTTGATGCCTTGGTGCTCAACACACCCCAGCCCCACCTGGCTGAGGGAAAACTTGAGAGGCCTTCCAGGGAGCCACAGCAGTGAAAGAGAAGGGCACATGGCTGTCTGTTGTGCCTGGCATGAGGTGGCAGATGCACTTGAGAAAACTGACATTTTGGGTGTAGGTTTCTACAGGAACAGATAGGTTAGACACCAATGCCCACATCTGCTGCTGGATGCTGTCCCAGCTTTTCACATAAAGGTGATTTTCTGCCCAGGCCAAATTCATCAGAAGCAAGTTGAAACATATCTGTTTTGTAAATAATTTCAATTACAGATCCCTGGTGCTTCACTGTATGTCCCCGAGGCTCCTGTGGCCCCTAGCTTTATAAAAATGTCTTCATACTTAGTGTGCCTATTGCCTGTGTTGTCCTCCTGTCATTTTCACTTGTGCTAAATAAAGCTTTCAAAACTACTCAAAACAATTTTCATGGAAAAGTACACATTCCTCATGAGCATCATGTCTAATGGGAATATCTCAGTGGCCAAGTCATCATTTATTTTATTCTAGTATATCTTGTTAAAATGATGTTATTACACGTAGTCTTCACCTAACAAAAGAACTTGCATTAGCATAGTAATGGCTCTGAAAACAGCTGATGGTCTTGCATTCATGTTGAATGGGAGCAGGAAATCTGTTAGCAAAAACACAGCAGACAAAAATCCTGTAATAGATTAAAAAGCCATAATTAAGGCATACTGAGGGTGGTGGTGGGGGTCACACTACATAATGTCAGTCTCTGTGACTGAATGCTTCCCAGAGGTCTCATTCTTACTTTTGTCAAGGAGTTCAAGTATTTTGTTTCATTTCTTGTAGGTGAAGGCAGAAGATGGAATATTTCATTATATGATTAATTTTTAAAATATAAACAGAAGTCTATATTAGATGGAGGTCATTTGTGACCTGGCACACTGAAAAAAAAATGACCTTGTAAACACTGATTTTCTCGTGATCTTCTAACAAAAGTCGTGGGGGAAGGAGAGACATTTCTTAGAGAGGGTGAGAAAAAGGCAAACAGGGACAAGAACAATTCAAAAATAAAAAAGTAAAAAATTCAGCCTGATTCAATTTGTGGTTTGTCATGTTGGAATAAGAAATCTGAAGAGTTCAAAATATTCAGCTGTGTAGGATGCCCCTTAGTGGCTGAATTTAAACACTGTTGACAGACAAAATAATTATAAACACAGAAAAAGACCCCAAAATAATATTTGTATTTAGTAACCAAGAACAAAGGATTTTAAATGCTAACATATGCACAGAAGAGCCTACAAAGCCATGTTTACATGTAACATAAGAAACAGTTGGAAAAGTGTAAACCAATAGTAAGAGAACTTTCCTGAATAAGTTGTACCAAATGAGAAGAAAACACGGGAGAAGTAGGAGAAAAAGGTCAAACTCTATTTCTATTCTAATCAGAATGTGTGTTATGAGATGAGTTGACTTTGCAGAAGAATACAGCCAGATATTGAACTCTGCAATGTAACCCAACCCAAAATTGTTACAGATACTTTCTAGAACAGAGAGTTTCTGTGCAGCTATGAAGTTATCTGGTCTGGAGCCATGGGCCCTTCCCAGCACCATATGGCTGGTGTAGCCTGTGGCCATCCAGGCTGTGACAGCAGGCTACCAGCTCGTGTCACAATACACAAACAGTGCTACTCTAAAGGCATCAAGAAATGTTTAATAGAAAAAGCTAGAGTGCACAAATTCTGTAATACCCAGATGTACAGTGCAAGGAGTCCAAGGGAGATTAATTTCATTTGTTCTAACCCTTGTCATGGGAAATATATTGCTTCTAACTTCTTTGCAAAAACAGTCTTTGCATTGGAGTCATTTGCAAAAGCTGCAACGCAGGGACGCTCCCAGAGCCCAGCACCCACACTAGTCTGTTTACAGCTACTCTGAATGTCACTGTATTTTATACCTTTAGATCTCTATGTATACACTGAACAACAAAAGAAGTTCATAGTATTTACAGAAAGTTTGTCTTATTTAGAAATCTGATGCTTCTGGTAGCCATTATTATTTTTTTTTTCCTTTCTTGAAGAAGTCTGCAGTTCTTCCATCTATTTATCTTTGCATGTAGAAATCACAGCTGCAAAGTGTCTCATTGCCTCCAGAGCGCTCAGAGGGGCAGAAAAGCCACTCATCAGCAGTATTGACATAAGCCTGGACTTCTTGGGTCACATGCTAACACAGCTTAGGTGGTCAGGGGGAATCTTTTTGTCTGAGTTAGCTGGTGTGTGCTGTAGCTGGATATGCTGATCCCGAACACTCCCAGGAGCAGTGCCGCCCGCTGCAGCGCTGTGTCTGACCGGCTGATAACCATCTTTGCTGCAGCTTGAGTCTAAGGGAGAAACAGGACAAGTTACAAGCTGATTCAGCTCAGTGCAACACAAAAGAAGGTCTTTGGAACCTACAAAGCGCTTTTATTCTTCTCCGTGCCATTTAACAGGGGATGCCTGCTTTCCACTGAAGAGGATTTCACACAACCTATTGCATGTTTTGGAAGCCCTCCCTTTTTATCAGTTTGTAAAAGATAGGACACATTTCTGATATGATTTTCCTTTCAGTTGCTGCTCATTGATTTTGGTGACTTTAATGGGTTCCCTCTGGCTACCTGAGAGGGAGAGCATCAAGCGTGGAGGCTTAGGCATGAAAGAGAAAGAACTTCCTCCTGTAGAGAACAAAGATCTTTTCCTTCCAACAGATTAGCTACCAATACAGGATGTTACCTTGAATGTTAGATGTCAATTCAGGAAAGCAAGTCTAGAAGGGATATGATATCCTTTATGACCTCCACAGCTAGGACTAGACCAAGCAGACAAGTTTTGAGACAGTCACTTTGTCAAGTCCAATGAAGAAGCAGGAAATGCCAGGCAAAGTAATTATTTACTATCTGAATAACAATCAGAAAAGAAATTAAGTTACTATAGCTTGCCTGGTCCATATAATACACTGATCAAGAGGCAGAAACACATGATCATGGAATCCCTAGAGAGTAAAACAAAAACTCATATACATATTGGCACTTAGAGTTAAAATAAAACGTATCTTTTTTGGTGCTGCATTTGGTTTCCTTAAGTGAAATAATTACTAGGCCTCAAATAATGTTGGTTTTGTCCTTTTTAAATGCTTTCCTTTGCAATCCAAGGGTGAAAAGCATCACACAGGAGCAGGAGATTCCATTGAACCTCTTTTTTACTTCCAGATTCTATGTCTTTTAAAGAATTTAAAGAATTTGAGCTTAGTGCTCTGACCTTGAAAAATGTGTCTGACTGTGGCTACTTCAGCCACAAAATAAATAAAGACAAAAGAAATTTCAAACAGAATTACTATGCAAGGTGATATAAAAAGATATGCAAGGAGGTGAAAGAAATTCATGTCTAGGATGGAAACACAGCATCTTTAGCTCAGTCTCTCAACCACTCAACTATCTCCTCTCAGCTGCTACAGTCTATGACTCTGGATGCAGATTACAGTGCTAAGAGCTATGACATTTTCCAGAGAAGGGTTGGATACTCTGTAAATATCAAAATATGGAATACAATAAGGAATTCTTCTGTATTCTTTGGCCAAGAAGCTGGCTAAAGTGTTTCGCTGATGGGTCAACTGAGTCACATCCTTCTTTCCATTAGTATTTTCCCATTGCCCCAAACACCCAAAGCCATGACAAGAGAAAATTATGGGGAAGCACTTTCTGTTTAAGCACTGCAGAAGAATTATCTCCTTCCAAATATTCTGTATTTTGTATTCCAGCATGATACCAATTATCAAGAAATGTCATAATTAATTTGCTTTTCAGCAGAGGATTAATTATTTTGAGTTATGTGAGTTAACCCACAAGAAACCAATGTTCCCTCGGGTTGGTAATGCAATAATTTGAAATAAAATCAACGTGATCAAGAGAAATATGGGTATTTTTAAAATTAATTAAAAGCAGGAAAAAAGAGAAAAAAGGAATTTCATACCTGCAGCAACCTTATATACCCAGGTGTCATTCTCCGGAGAGGAATAACCATGGTTTCTGAGTCTTCCTAGAGTTTCAGCCCCTACAAACCTAGAACACACAAAACATTACTAAACCCCAGGATGTTTTACAAGTTGACCACTTCATGAAACTGAAGTTTAAGGCTAATGCAGTTTGCTACAGGGCTGAAAGCACCCCAAGAAACACAGTTCAGACATTTCTGTCTCACCTGATGCTCTTTTCCCTGGAGCCCTTCCCATGCTCTCGGGCCTGGGGTATATAAAGCCCCACTTTGTTGCATAACCTGTCACATGGGATCTGTCTGCACTGCTTAGGTGTTGGCAGGGCTGCAGCCATCCTGCCTGGGGCCAGGTATGTCTTACAATATTGGAAAACACTCTGGGAATGCCTAAATCTCATTAAGAGAGTGACCTCCTTAATAAGAAAAGGACCTGAGCCTGCTTTATAGATAGCACTGGACATAGGGAAAGGAGGTCATTATAGCATTTCATGTCACAGAGTGACAATGCAAATAGGATTGGATGGTGTTTATATAACTTAAAGCATATATTTATACCCACAGGATGACCTGACTGGGTAGGAAGCTTAATGCAACCATGACCCAAGTTGAAATGATGTGCTAATATAACAGGGCTATTTGGAGGCACATTTAAAAATAAATGCTTTCTATTCTGATAGCATTCACTTTTACTCAGCATTATGCACAGTCTTGTGAGGTTTTCTGCTGCTATTTCTTTAAAACTAAAAATATCTAATCTGATACTTACTGATATTACTACCTTTTGTTAACTGTGATCTCTTTTCACTGTAGTGAGCTTGAATTCACTTCTATTCCTGTAGCCATACAGCACACAATGTGAGAAAAGGTGGTAAAATATAATCTACAAAATTAATTTCTCCTACTTTTTGTAGTGTCCATTGATAGAACATGCTAAGAAAGATATTTTTCTCCATTTTCAATAAATGCAACCTTGCATAGATAGCAAGGCAGAATTTGACTCCAGATGGAGTCCTACTTCTAAACATGCAGGGTAGGAATCTTCAGGTGTTTTAAGTCAGTAGAGCACCAACATGCACACTGAGCCCACACCAGTTTTCATGACAAGTGTTCCAGAGATCAGTGCTGACTTGCACCCCTAGAGTCTCTAAGGGAACTCTGAGAAATATTCCTGCTGTAAAAGAGCAGAACATGATTCTACTTGAAAAACAATCCATTCCAGGTATTCCACAGTGATACCAGTTCCTCATCTTCCTTTCAGCAGATGCCTAATTAATGTTACCTAAAGGAATGCTTCTGTTTTATTCCAGGGCTCTGGCTTACACAGCACACAGCGGGCAGTTCTCATTTTTCTTTCACTGCACCATGTTTGCAGCACACCAACTCCGTGGCACCAACAGAACAATGTCTTATTTAAAAAAAAAAAAAGGATAACAGGCAGGGACACCTTCTCTAGGCAGTAAAAGCAGGAGACTGGGAACCTGTCAATCTGTTTGTTTGTTTTTTTTATAATACATAATTTTCACAGTGGCCCCACACTAAATCTTTCACACTCTATCCCTTAGCTGTAGGAAATACTGTATTAACAGGAAGTAATCAACATAAAACTGGGAGCTGACTGAAGTTATAAGAAGCCTATCAGTACCTGCCCAAACACATTTGGGATGAAAACCTATAGTATGAAAAGTCAAAGACCTTTTTCTTGTTTCTCACTGTATGCTCCATGCCAGCTTTCCCAAACAGGAGAGGGCCTGTGCTTGCTGCCCAGAGCAGGACCAAGGATAATGATGCAGTCTGCCTTTTCCTGGAAATACACAGGACACAGATCTTCCTTTAAATCTGCAGCCTTGCCTACATTCAAAGGAAAACCTCCTTACTGAAGTATCAGAGTTTCAGGAGCTGCAAGATCTCTGCCATTTTGTTTGTAACACTTTCCATTCAGAGAATGGCAAATGTGGAATGTGAGATTCCAGTGATATGGTATTCAGAAAGGGAGAGCTTTCCAAACACGTTTCTTTGTGTGGAAAATTAAAGGGAAAGGAAAGAATATGCTTTGTCTGACATAGCTGTCTTTAAAAAGGATCTCTTGGCCATGTGCAACACAGCTGAATTGTAGAATATTTTCTGTAATTGTAGGTGTTACCAAAATCTGAATTACAGCACCAAGGACTCTGAAAGAATAACTGTCCATGGCTGTTTCAGGAGAACTTTGATCAAACAAGGGAGTGCCTCCATTCCTTTTGAAGTCCAAGCCTCTGAGAATTGAGTTCTGACTGCCAGGACATGGAGATGAACGTGTCTGTTCTGGTTTGGGGATCAGAGAACAAGCCAGAAAGACCTCTCCTGGCACAAACACAGGGACCCCCCATGTTGTGCAAACTGCTCACTTCATTAATCTACTGATGCCTTCCCTGTCTGATGAAGGCACTAATAGGCCTAATTAGGTGCCTTCAAATAGGCATCAAGCAGCTAAGAATGCAAGTGATACCCTGACATCCTCCCCAATATTAAAGACAAGGGATGCTTTGAACTCAGCTGTCAATATTCACCACCTTGTGCTCTATTTCCATTAGGAGGACAAATCAATAATGAAATTACAAGTTCCTCTGCTGCAATCCAGTGCCTTTGGGACAAGCAAGGGCTGCTTTCCCAAAGGCAGCCAGACTCAACCACCAAAAAATAAATTATTTTCACACTCTTAAAAGGCCCTTCTTGACTGGCACTCCCCAAAAACTTTCTATGCTGCTGGTGATCATGTCCCTGCCTCTCCAGAATGTGGAGCAGGGACTCTCATGACAGCTCAGTGCAAGCAGCAGGGGAAGCACTGCACACGGGACCCCGACCCCTGCTCTTCTGGCAGATTTTGAAGCCTGTGCTGTTGAACACCCTCAGACAAATGGCTCAAATACTTAGACACCAATCATTCATGGACTTGTCACTTTCCATATGTGCCCCAGACTTTGTTAGGTTCTCTTTCACAGGCAGCTGATTCTCTTGACAGCTGGACCTTATTATGATCTTAGAGGTCTTTCCCAGCTTATGATTCCCACATCATAAGAATCCTCTATAAGATCCTTAAAAATATTTTATCTTGAAATGAGATTCATCTTCCCAGTTTGCCTTGTTTCCTGTGCTCCATACAATGATTCTTATTTACCAGCTCATTTTCCCACATACTTCCTAGCATATTAATTTTTATCCTGATAAAAGGGCAGCTACATCAGCATTTCCCTCTATAGCAGCTCCAGCACCAGAAATTTCTCTTCAGGAGAGGGCCCTATACTGCTTTCTTCTGCTCACCAGTTCTTGCCATTGGAGACCCTTGTGGAATCCAGAGTAGCAATGATCTGTGACACTTGAGACTCTGGATGCTAGCAGGTTCCCACACACACAGGAATCCATTGCCTACATCTGCCTCTGCTCTTTTTTCCCCCCTCATTGCTTTTTCTTTTTCTTTTTCTTTTTCTTTTTCTTTTTCTTTTTCTTTTTCTTTTTCTTTTTCTTTTTCTTTTTCTTTTTCTTTTTCTTTTTCTTTTTCTTTTTCTTTTTTCTTTTTCTTTTTCTTTTTCTTTTTCTTTTTTTCTTTTTCCATCTATTTCTGAAAAAAGGTTTTAGCCATCCTGCATCAGAAGGAGGGAAGAGTGAGGCAAGATCAGGTGCATGAGTTAAACCACAAGAAGAGGTGGTGGAGGTGCCCAGGTGAGCAGCCCCTCAGGCCTCCCCTCCAGTGCAGCCAGGTCACCTGAAAGTCCCCTGCAGGAAGGACAGAAGCCTTGCTGGGAGCTGCTCCAGCTGCTGCTGGTGGTTCTGCAGGTGATGCTGACGTTGCTGAGCTGTGTTTGCTGGATGGGGCTGCCATGTGCACTCACTGCCACACCCCACACTGGGCCCCAAAAGCAGTGGGAACAGCAGGAACAAGGCAGGTGATTCTCCTGCTGCTGCTCTCAGTTCCTAAGGGAACCTGCCACAGTCACATTACTGGCTTTGCTGGTAATGCAAATGCTTTGCTTTGGCAAGGTGATGAGGCTGGCAAGGTGAGAGCAAGAATGTGACACCAAGTAGAGGACAGTGCTGCCCCACGGGTGGCTGCGGTGAGCAGCCCTCACTGCCAGGAGAAGGCAGCTGCACACCTGTGCAGGCACAATTCTGAACAATAAACTGGTTTAAAGCAAGACTCTCTGCTGGCTTTGAGGGCCATTAAGCTTGATTTACTCAAGGCTCTCTATACTGCTACAGGGACAGAATTTATAAGAGGATTTCCCATAAAGCGTATAACATTTTCATTCTATACCCGGTGAACAATATGACATTTGGAAGTCATAATTTTGAAAACAATCCAGATATTTAACTAAAGAAGTACTTTCCAAAATTCATCATCCTTAAAGGGTACACGGCAGAATTCTGAACCTACTCACAGCTTCCACTAACACCCCTTTGTGCAGGATAGGAATAAACGTAATGTGCTGTCACTGCGGGCAAATCAATAAAATAAACCATATGAAAAAAAAACAAACCACCAAATCTTCCTCAACACACAGCTGTATGACTAATCGTAGTCTTTTTGACTTTAACAGTTATTAGATCTGAGAGCATGTCCTTGCAAATCATTACGTGAATTACTCAAAAATTAGAGCTAAGCTAAAAGTAATTTTGCCTTAAAGAAAGGTAACTAAACTGCCTGCTCTGTTGGGGTAACAGGACTGGGCACTGTTAGCTTATAGAAGGAAGAGTCCTGTCCCAAAGAGACGAGGATCTGTGGGGAGGCAGATGATTGCCACCAGCTGAAGGAGCACTGGGCAACAAAGAGAACGCACAGCTTGGCATGCGAAGCGATGTTCTCAGCTCACTTTTACAGGCAGACTGTTTCCAAATTTTTGTAGGCATTGCAGCAAAACACAACGTAAAGGAGAGATGTGAAGATGGTAAATGAATTTTAAGATGATAAGGGAGGCAAGGAACAGGAACAGTGTTAGTTGTATTGTTGCATTACATGGTAGTACCTTCACAAACACAAAATTAAGGAGATGGATTGGAATATGTTGACGACAGAAGTAGGAAATGCC